ACGGTGACCCCATTTCCCCACAGCAGAGGAGTGGTTTACTTAGCAGAGAACTGTCAAAAAAGGTTTAGCTTTTAGAATCAGACAGGGCAACTTGGTTAATGCTTCATTTGCTACTTTAGCCAAAAGTCAAGTAAATGGATCTCTGGTTATTCATCTACAAAAACAAAAAGAACAAAAAGAAAGAAAAGGAAGGTTTCAATCAGTGTCTAACTTTCCAAAGCCCTTGATTGTTGATGTCATGGAATTGATTCTCAGTGAATTCAACACTCTTATCCCAAAAAGTGAATGTAACCTTTTCTAAATGGTTCCTAAAAGAATCAATTAACTTTTCATAGAGGAGAACTTACCTCTGAATCATTTATTAATGCCTTGGTGATTACACATGTAACTGCTATTGTTGATAAATAGGGTCGCGCTCTTAAAAACCTATAATCAACACACTTCTCTCCTTTCTTATTTTATCAACCTAAAAAACCCACTGCCATTAAGTCAGTTTTCCAAGGCTGTGATCTTTACAGAAGAAGACTGCTACATCTTTCGCTCGTGGAGTGGCTGGTATTTTCGAACCTCCAACCTTTTGGTTAGCAGCCAAGCACTTTAACCACTTTGCCACCAGGACTCCCTATTTTATCAAAGGTAAGGATAATTGCTGCATTAAGTTGGAGTGGAAACCAGCGTGTAATACTAATTTTTAGATATATTTAATGAAAAAATAACAACATCATTATTTAATAACTTTATATGTCAGCACTGAAGAAGGAAAACTGATGGAATCATAACTGTCTATTGCCTAACTGGGCCTGAGTAGAAAGGAAGCTGTAAGCATTTTTTTTAAAGGCTTTTTAATCTTTTGTGCATTCAAATTTGAACATTTTATAGGATAAGATATAAAAAAGTGTGTAGGGTCTAGTACTACTAACATTTGTGTAAAAAAGGATGTAAGAAGGATAGCTATACATCTATATTTATCTATGAAAGCAGAGGTTGTTGAGTAGGAGAAATTTTGCCTTCCACGCAGGAGACTGGATTCCATTCCCAGATAATGCACTTCGTGTGTAGCCGCCACCACGTGTTGCTATGATGCTGTACAAGTTTCAGTGGTGCTTCCAGACTATGACAGATTAGGAAGACAGGCCTGGTGATCTACTTCTGAAAAATCAGCCAGTGAAAACCCTACAGATCACAACAGTACGATCTACAACTGATCCCTGGGATGGCACAGGACTGGACAGTGTTTTGTTCTATTGACATAGGGTAGCCTGAGGCAGGGCCAACTTGACAGCAAACAATAACAACATATTTATCTACACATATGGAGAAGGACAGGTGTGTAGAAACTCCTAACTAGGGACTAGAGGTCTGGCGTGGGAGGAAGGCTAACTTTTCCCAGTATACCCTTTATATAGTTTTATTTATTTACTCATTTGTTTTCTTGTTTATATATATCCATGTATAACACCTAATTTAAAAAATGAACACATGTTTCTGGCAATTGCACAAACAGGTGGAAGGTTACCTGGGGACTCAAGGAATCCTTCCAGCCTCCCTTTCCCTGTGCTAACAACCAGGCTAGGTCTGGGCAAGGTCTGAAATTTAGCCCAAATGTATCCTGATGTCTATTACTTCCCCTTTAAGAATTACTCTACTTTCTCCTTAGCAGAAAGCTAAGGCAAGCTCTCAAGTCTTGAAGAAATAAAATTTCAGCTCTGTGAGAAAGGGTGTGAGAGACATTTGGCTTGTTGCTTCCTCAGGTTTGAGAGACTGGAAATTCTTAATGATCTATATACTGGCAGGTAACTTATCTGAGGAAAGCCCTTCCCCTCCCAATTATAGTGTCTTAGGTTTGTGAGAATCCTCAAATGTCAACCAAGTCAGAAACTCTGACCCCATATTGCTTGAGTCCCTTCTCCAGCATCTCCACCCCAAGAGCTATCCCTCCTGTGCTTGTCTATCAACTACGTCTGTCTACCATTGTGTGCCACTCAGAAGAATTTAATTCCTGTTTCACATCTCCCTTCAGGCTCCTCTTCCGTGTAAACAAGCCCAGGTTCTCCAGCTCTTCCCCAAATAGACTGGACTTTGGATAAGCTTGATCTCTCGGCCACCCTCTCTATCTACGGCTCAATAGTGAAGGCAAAATTTTACCAGCGCTCTGAGGAGCTGAGAGTAGACAGGGTCATCACCTCCATTACTTTATCGTCTGTAATTTTAAAATTTAAACCACCAATATCAAAGCATCATTTTCTGTTTTTCCCCCTTGGGAAGGCTGCTACGTCACCCCATTAACTCACTTTGAACTGATTACTGAATAACACGTCTACACCATTTTCACAATGTGGCTCTGAATTCCAGGCTTACTTTTTTTGGGAAACTAAGCAGAACCCTGCGTCTTCCCCTATTTAATTTCATCTTGTTAGCCCATAGTTAGCACTCACAGAAGCATTTCAGAAGATTCTATCTTCTTATGTATTCACTGGAGTCCCTGGATAGTAAACGATTAACACACTTGGCTATTAGCTGAAAGGCTGGAAGTTTGAGTCTACCCGACGGTGCCTCGGAAGAAAGACCTGGTGATCTACTGCTGAAAAATCAGCCATTCATTGAAAATTCTTTGGAGCACAGTTCAACTCTGACATACATGGGGTTGCCATGCCCACCGGTTTATGTATTCGCCTGATGGACGCCTTTGTGCCTTCCTGTAAATCAGTGATAAAAATGTTCATCTGGTCCCACCCTGTCTGGAGCAAGGGAGAATGAAGAAACCAAAGACACAAGGGAAAGATTAGTCCAAAGGACTAATGAACCACAACTACCACAGCTTCCACCAGACTGAGTCTAGCACAACTAGATGGTGCTCGGCTACCATCACCAACTGCTCTGACAGGGATCACAATAGAGGGTCCCAGACAGAACTAGAGAAAAATGTAGAACAAAATTCTAACTCACACACAAAAAAAAGAGACCAGACTTACTGCTGTGACAGAGACTGGAGAAACCCCAAGAAAATGGCTCCCAGACACCCTTATAGCTCAGTAACGAAGTCACTCCTGAGGTTCACCCTTCAGCCGAAGATTAGACAGACCCATAAAACAAAACGAGACTAAGTGGGCACACTAGCCCTGGGGAAAGACGAGAAGGCAGGAGGGGACAGGAAAACTGGTAATGGGGATCTCAAGGTCGAGAAGGGGGGAGTGTTGACATGTCGTAGGGTTGGCGACCAATGTCACAAAACAATATGTGTATTAATTGCTTAAAGAGAAACTAATTTGCTCTGTAAACTTTTATCTAAAGCACAATTAAAAAAAAAAAATTTCACCTGGGGCCCAGGACTCAAATCCGATTCCATTCCACTTGCAGGTGTGAAGGAGTTGCCGGGAAGGAGTCTATAGAAGACTTGAGTCCTTAGGAGGACTTCCTGACAAGAGTGTTATTCTCACCTTGTTTTATTTATTTCATTCAGAAAGGAGCACTGGAATTTGTAATATATGGGATGAACATTTTGCGAAAAAAGCCATACTTCTTAGAAGGGTGTTTGCAGCAGGAAGTGGAGAGTGAGTGGGAAAACGAGAAGAGCCTGAATATGCTTGTCCATCATTTCTCTCCGGGGACCAAGGACATGTGAATCACTGGCCAGGAGGCTTGTCTTAAGCTTTTGACACTTACAGTTTTAAAATTTCTCATTTATGATAGCTCCAGAGTTCCAGTAAGAATGTTAAGAAAGTATTTTGGATTATAAAATTCATTGTTTAATTATTCAAAATTTTTGAGAACTAACATTTTACCAAGGTGGAATTTAGAAATCATGAATTATTAGAGCCAAAAAAAATCTTGGGTATCTTGTTCCTCATCTGTAAAATGGGATAATAAAAATGACTATTGTGTAAACGTTGTGAATACTATGTGAGAAGATGCATGTACAGCACTCTGAGTGGTTTCTGGCTTGTTGTAAAGGCTCAATGAATGTGAATTATTATTATGATGGTAGCAGGAACAGCGGCCCTTTCTCCCCTCTTCTCCCTCCCACTTACAGATTTTGGCTCAAAAATAATAAAGAACAGTCTAATAACTAGAGCCAATCAACAGTAAGATTGGCAGGTGGTGGCCTACTTATTCTTTGGTGGCATTGAAGCAGAAAGTTATATTGGGACGTTGTTAGTGGAAGTGTCTCTGTGAGACAGATGCTGGCTAGATGACCTCTTCCAACCAAACTGGAAAGTCTGGTCACTTACTAGTCTTTTACTAGATTGCAGCCTGGTATTGATGGGAGGCCCTCACCTTGTTTCAGCAAAGATCCCCTTATTTCTCTCATTAGCGTCACCAGGGCTATCCTACCTAGCCACAGTAATTAGGACTGTCCACCCTGTTACCTCCCCATAGTACTCAGAGCACCACTTCTCTTTATTGGGAAAAAAAAGAAAAAAAGAAAAAAACCATAAGCAAACATAGTATTTGTGAAACCCTAATCTTTTAAAAATTTTTTAATGGTGATTTAGGTGGAAGTTTACAGAGCTGATTAGTTTCCCATTCGATAGTTTGTACAGAAAGCATTCCATAGCATTGGCTGCATTCCCCACAACGTGTCAGCGCTCTCCTCATTTCTACCCTGGGTTCCCTGTTTTCCTTCCTCTGGATTTTCTACCCCTTCCTGCTTTCTCATCTTTGCTTCTGGGCAAATGTTGTCCTTTTGACCTTGTGTAACCTATTGTTCTAAGGAACAAGTCCCTCTTGGGTGTTATTGTTTATTTTATTGGCTTGTCTATTGTTTTACTGAAAGGTGATCTCCAAGAATGCTTCAGTTCCAGATCAGAAGAGTGTCTTAGGGCCATAGTCTCAGGGGTTCCTCCCGTCTCTGTCAGACCAATAAGTCTGGTCTTTTTTGTGATTTTGACTTTTTGTTCTACATTTTCCTCCTGCTCTGTCTAGGACCTTCTGTTGTGATCCCAGTCAGAGCAGTCAGTAGTGGTAGCCAGGCACCATCTAGTTCTTCAGGTCTCGGGGTCTTGTAGGCTGTGGTTCATGTGGTCCATTAGTCATTTGGACTAATTGCTCCCTTGAGTCTTTGGTTCTAATCTTCTTCATTGATGCAAAAAGGACAAGTGAGTTCTGACAGTCCAGGCTGCTTCACATAAATATTCAATGAAACTTTGAGGGTGATACTGGGTACTAGGATCTGGGGAAACATCCATTTAGGGAACTTCTCCCTTTGGAGGAGGTGTGAGTCCAGGGTCAATCCACTTTAGAGCCATGAATATGAGCAAGGAGCAGGCCTAATTGCACTGTAGGCTAAAGAGAGCTTTTAATTTAGTTTCTTATTTTCATGGGGCTTCAGAGACACCTCAAATGAAAGATTTCCAACCATCTCGAGTATGAGTTGTACCAGATATTCTGGCACTTGTTATTTTTACAATCACCAGAATAAACATAAATACTCTATATTTTTGCTTCTCTGGAATGGTTGGTATCCTGTTACTGTATTATTCCCATCTTCCACCAGACATCTGTGTGTGCATCAGTGTTCACAGTGGCCTTGAAAAAGATGTCTATCCTTTATAGCTCCCCATAGAGTAGAAGGCTTGCTGTCTTGGAGTCTCCCTACCTCTGCTTTCATAACTATGTCTTTCTCTTAGCCCTCTTCCTGCTCTCTTTTTCTCCCCTCCTACTTGCAGTCTACCCAGTGTTTTTCTACTGCTCCTTAACTTGTACCAGTGTCTCCTAATGCTTCATTACCCATCCTTTTCCTATCCTCATCAAAGCTTACCAGAACAGAGTTCCAGTCCTTCAGAGCCTTATTTTCAGCAAGATAGCAGAATAAGTCTAATCCACTTATGAAAGTTTTCTACTTAATTTCTTAATATTTTGCTAAGGGAAAAATATTTAACATTTAAGGAGTTGCTCTCCATTGCTGTAGAGTCAATTCTAACTCAAAGGAGTTGCTCTAAATGGTGGGGACTACAGGTGTGGGGTATGCCAGTGGTGAAGATCATTTTGGAGGAAAAGTCTTTCGATCTCTTACGTCATACCAAGCAGGCAAAGCCTAAATATTGGGCAGGTCTTGTCCATGTGACATGTTATGCCTGCCCTTCTTTCAAAGAAAGCTTGAGAAAGGACTCTGGGAAATCACCACTGATGGTGGGGTTCCTTTATTTATCAAAAGAAGCATGGTTTTCTAAGTGAGTCCAGGCTGGAGTAGATAAGGAATGGGATTGAAAATGAGCACGACCTTGAAATCAGTCAATCTCATAGCCTGGGGCAGGCATTCCTGGTCAGCTGAGTCACACTGCGTTAGGATTAGCCAGCTTTACTTTCTGTCTCAACAATACAAAGTCTTGCAAAACTGCTGGCATGTGAGACAGAGGTATCCAGAAAATCTTGGCATCTTTTCCAGCAGCATAATGTGTCTTAGGGAAGAGACTTGTTAAAGCATGGTCCATGCACTCTACCACCAGGGAGAGGTCCACGTTCTCAAAGGATGTAGAGTCTTTCAGTTTTTCTAGACCTATACAAAGAAACAAAAGCACATTTACTCTTTGGAAGAAGAGGAAAAGGAGAGTGTGAAGGTAGGGTGGGAAGGAGAGGATGTATATGAGGGAATTTAATTTGGCATTATAATTCAGGCACATTGTCATGGTTTTTAACCTATTCCTCAGTAAAAGATGCAGCAGTGCTTTCTTTGTATCAGTGGTTCTCAACCTCAAATAGGCAGTAGAATCCCTTAGGAGAATAATGTTTTTAAAACACAGATTATTTGGCCTCAACTTGAGAGTTTCTGATTCAGTAGGTCTGGGGAAGGGCCCAAGAATTTGCATTCCTAATAAGTTTCCAGGTGAAACTGATGCTACTGGTCTGAGGCACAAACTTTGAGAAGCACTGCTTTAAAGCAACGAGAGAAAGATACTTCATAAAGTTCTTGAGGCCCCTGGCTTAGGAAGTTATAGGTTTGATTCCTGATTCGGTTTTATGGGCGTACTCGGTTTATAGGAAATGTGGGTGTGTACGTGTGCTTGTGTGTGTGTGTAGGGGGTGGAATGGGGTGGGTATGAGTGCACTTATATACCATAATGCCTCTATAATTCAATGAATAGAGAGATAATCACTCCAAACACCCTGACTGAGGAAGGTCAACAAATTCCAGTTCTCAGGCAAATGATACGTCTTTCAGGTATTTTTAAAACAGTAGGTATTTTATAAAGGGGTTGGTAATGGCTTGGAGCATTCCTCATATGCTCTTAAAACATGCCTGAGTGGTGTCTTCTCAAGGAAAAATTTATGATTTTTAATCCTCCTTTTTTAACTTTAGGCCCTGGTAGCCACAAATTTTCCAAAGAGTCTAATTAAGAAGGTTACCTAATATGTCTCAGGGACTATTTTAAACGAAAACCCCAGCCTGGGAAATGAAAGTTGACCTTAAATTTGTAGTCTACTTTGGGACTGTGAGTCTGGCTGATGTCCAAGTCCTGACTTGGAAAACTCTAATAAGAACAACCCGTGCAAAATTAGACTCCACGCCTTTTGGTACTTCCCAGACAGACCTCCTGAACCTAGGACCATGTCAACAATAATTTTGAGAAGAAAGTTGGTGAAATATTCATAGGTATTTTTAAAAGTGTCAATGTCAATATCAAAAAAGAAAGCCCTTTTAAATGAGGGATTTTGTTTCTGAAGTCTTAATCAGTCTTAGACTGAATCTACTTAGAACCTTCAAAATCGGTGAGTGAGAAACAGCATTTAATGGCAGCAGTGTTTCACAGAGATCTGGGGAGGTTTGTCAAACCAGACATTCTAGCTGATACACATTGTGTGTGCATCTCTCTCTCTCTCTGTGTAGTGGTGGGGACAGGTGGAATAGTCAGCTGTTTTTTAAAACTCCCCATTTTCAAAAACAAAAATTTACTCATTTGCTGGGTATTAACGTTTTAGAGGAATAATGGTATATCTGACTTTCCTCTCAGCCCCCCCTAGAGAACTTCTAGCCTAGAACCTTGCCACAGTTGACTGTTTTACCAACCAGCAATGGAAACTTAGCAACCCTAAGGTAACAATTTGGATGGACTGAGTGACCCAAAGTTAGGTGGGGCCCTGTTTAGCTCAAAGCAGGAGCTCAGTAAGTGTTTGAGAAATATCTAATGCACTTTAACAGGGCCAGGAAGTTTGAGGCAGAAGCAGGGGCTTGACACAGGATGTTTGATTAGGGTCTTTATGCCTCGTTCACATTGTAATGCTGTTGCTGTTGTTAGGGGTCATTGAGTTGAGTTTTGACTCACAGCAACCTCATGTGACAGAGTACAACTGCCCCATGGGGTTTTCTAGGCTGTAATCTGTATGAGAGCAGATTGTCAAGTCTTTCTCCTGAGGAGCCACTGGATGGGCTAGAACTACCAACCTTTCAGTTAGCAGCCAAGCGCTTAACTGTTTGCCACCAAGGCTCCTTCATGGTAGTGCAGTGGACCAGAATATGGATCAATGCTAAAGTCAGGCTACCTGGGTTCAAATGTAGCTCTATAGCTGTGCAACTTCAGACAAGTTACTTCTCTGGGCTTCTGTTTCTATAAAATGGGGGTAATAATAGTATCTACTTTATAGGCTTATTTGGGGGTTTTAAATGAGAGAGTCCATGTAAAGTTCTTAGAATGGTGATCATTACATGGTAAATGTTCAGTATACGTTAGTCATCATTATCTAATCTTTATTATTATTTCTCTATGCCTGACCCAATCCCCTGGCTTATGTTACCTCTCACTTTTTATAGTCTCACTTGGTTATGTTTTGTTGTCAATTAGATTGTAATCGAATTGAGAGTCAGAGTCTGAGCCTTCTCTATCTTTTGGAAGCTCCGCAAAGCTTGAACAATGTTAAGAGTGTGGTTGGTGCTTATCAAAAGAGGAGGTATGTGTAAAGGTGAAGATCGTGGGTCTTGAGTCAGCCTGCCTGGGTTCAGGCCCTGGCATGACCAGGAGGAGTTGTGTAACCTTGGTAGAACACTTCACCTTTCTAAGTCTCTGCTCACTATTCCAACAGTTCTTTTGAAGAGTAAATGATATAATTCATAGAGTGTATAAAGTAGAATGTGGCACTTAGTAAATGTCCAATAAATGTTTATAAACACTTGGAGAAGCAATAGATGGCATTGGAATAGTGGGGAATCTTGATCCATACTTAGGCTCCCTATTGGTGCATTACTTTGGGGACCTTGTTTTATCATTTATGATTGCATTTCCTCTGTGCAGTCTAGGACATTGTACCCTAAAAGTCCCCAGGTCCACCCAGAAACTCACTTTTTTCAATGTAACCTTCTCCATATTGTTGTCTGATGTCTGGAGACAGATGCTTCCAAATGGCCCGTTTTTTTTCATTTACCTTTATTGGATCTGACAATCCTGTCTGGAATAATCCTGGTTCAATGCATGAGACATGAACACCAAAAGCTTTCATGTCCCGTCTGTGAAAAGAACCCATTGGAGACGCTTAATCCAGATTTATTAGAAGAATACTTGCAATTTGGGTAACTATTTTCTTATGAATGTTTTCGTGGAATCACAGAATTGGATGCATTGGAAGGAGTATCTTGTTCTACCTCTTATTTTGAAGATGAAGAAACTGAAGTTCTGGGTGGTGAAGTGAGGGCTGGTTAGTGGCAAAATAGGAAAGGGATCTGGGTGGACCCACCCTCAGGCCACTGTTCTTCTCCCTAGGCCATGCTGTCTCACTAAATCAAAGAGGACTCAGATTAAGGACAGGTTTCTTCTTAGTACTCAAAGTATCTTATGGTGAAACGGACTAATAATTATCCTGGAAGGACAAGTTTATCTCCATTCTAGGAACATCAGGAGATTGCAGCACACATGATTATATGCTAAAGGACACAGTGTGACAACCCTGATTTGACCAGCTACCTATGCCATCCAGCAAGCACTTTCATCATATTGCTGCAAAAAACCAAGAATCTATTCATTTACTGGGCATTAAGGTTTTAGAGGAATAATGGTACCCCTTTCTTTAAAGCAAACCAGGATATGAATCATCATTTCCTAAATTTAGTTCGTATTCCCACCTGGAATATATAAGGAAGTAATTGTTCATTTTATCAAAATCTTTACCATAAATGTTTAAAAAATATTTTTTAGTCAACTTAAACTATGATTTAATTTATCTCACTTTCTTTTTTTCTAGCAACATACCTACTGGGTAATTTGAAGTGTATTTTACTAAAAAATACGTACTAGCTTGACCTGGAGAGATTTTGAAAGGTGTGTTGCTTGCATTTAAAAAAAAAAAAAAAAAAGGTTACTTCCAAATTTAATTGTATTTTACTTGCTTGTAGTCTGGTCTTCTTAGGATCTTGAAAGTAACGATGCTGGGGCGGGGGGGTAGAATTGAGAAGACTTGTCTCCCACTCAGAAAATAACATATAATCTAGAGATAAATGGCTTTAAGCCACACAACTAAGCTTATAAGGTAAGTAAAGCCCGTATGCTTGTTAGGTAAATACAACTTTAAAGAGTTGCAACCTTGTCCCAGCCAGACTGCTGCCCCTAAGCCCCTATATACAAAAATTCTAGGGCTGCCACAGGACCTTGGCCTGCATGCATAATACCATTTCCAGCACCAAACCCCTAGCTGTCAAGTTGATTCTGACTCATAGCGACCCTATAGGACAGAGTAGAACTCCCTAGAGGGTTTCCAAGGAGCGGCTGGTGGATTTGAACTGCCAACTTTTGGTTAGCTGCTGAGCTCTTAACCACTGTGCTACCAGGGCTCCTTTCCAGTACCAGTTCCATGATTTAGAAAGAAATAAAAACTCTTTATTCATTGCCTTCACACATGGAACAGCTGCACTGCAAACAGAATCTCACAAACCCTTTAGTTGAAATCTCTTTATAAGCAACTAGAGTAAATCTTTAAGTATATTTATATATTATTATAATACTGCTGCTTATAGAGTAACTGGGGGGAACCAAGGAGACTAGTGGAGTTTCCCCCTGGCCTTGCTACTCAAAATGTGATCTATCCCTGGACTATTGGCATCACCTGTGTGCTTGTTGAAGCCCTGGCAGCATAGTGGTTAAGAGCTTGGCTGCTAACCAAAAGGTCAGCAGTTTGAATCCACCAGTCTCTCCTGGAAACCGTATGGGGCAGTTCTACCTTGTCCTATAGGGTCACTATGAGTTGGAATCTGCTGGACAGCAATGGGTTTGGTTTGTTTGTTTTTTGGGCGCTTGTTAGAAATGCAGAATCTCAGGCTCTACCCCAATCAACTGAATCAGAAGCTGCAGTTCAACAAGATACGCAGGTGGTTCAAATGCACACTAATGTTTGAGAACACTGCTCTAGCATTATTGTGTTTATTTCCTGGGAGAATCAAACCTGGCAATCTGATCAAATTGTAAAATGGAGTTATTCTGTCTTTATTTATCTCAGTGGAATAATCTAATTTTTTATTAGTGAACTAACCATAAAATCATGGTTTAAAACCTAAACTCTAACATGCACCTTTGACAAACACTAGTTAAATAAACAAATGAGTGGAAGGGAAAAATTATATCTAATTTTGTCTTCTCTCTTGCCTATCACAACCCCACTTAGCTCGATATCTTTTATTTGTTCCTCCAGACCCTTTCTCCGCTCTTCTGCCTACTCTATACCCTGGGAAGCTGACCTGTATTTTAACTATATTCTGGCTTCTGTTGGGTACAGTCAATTGGGAGTACAGGCAGTAGATCAGACAGAGGGAGGGAAGAGAAAGAGGTTGGGCTAGTTATTCCCCCTGTGGGTTCAACACTGGTTAATTTCAACCCTCGACTGAAGGTGACAGCCTCTATATCTCTTGGTTCTGGAAATTTTCCTGTCTCCTTGTCCCTTCTGTTCTATGGGGTAGAAGTTCCCCTGCTGTTGTTAGCTCTCAGATACTACACTAAAAAACCAAACCAAACCCATTGCCATTGAGTTGGTCCTAAAAGGATGGAAAGAAACTATGTTGCTTTTTGTTTCTCTCTTTCTCCCACCGCCTGGTCCCATAATGAGTACAGTTGGGGGAAGTAGTTGGCAGAGCAGAGTGACTAAACACGAGCTTTTTGGCTGGAGGGGAGTCCCAGGGAACCAGAAAGAGCTAGGGAGATTGTGAAGAGGGAGGAGCTCAGGAAAGTGATTCCATAGAATTATTTAGGAATTCCACATGTGAATGCATGGATCTGACTTAGAGAACCAAACTATGAGATAAGCCATGTTCCATATCCCAGACTGGCTACTGTTTGGTGCACGTGAGGGACAGATCCGAATAGCACAGTAAGACTTCGAAAACTGAACAAACATTGGAATCACAACCTACAGAAGTCTTGGAGCTGAAGATAACCTGTTTTTTTTCTAACACAAAAAAATCAACTTTCTCAATAGAATTTAAACAAGACCCATTGTCTCATAATACTTCAGCATACCATCCAAAATTACGTGGCATACAAAGAACCAGGAGAATCTCAACTTGCTCAATCAACAAATGCCAATGCTGAGGTGACACAGATGTTGGGATTATCAAAGTCCTTTAAAGCAGCTGTTATAAAAATGTTCCAAAACATAAGGGAAAACACTCGAGTGAGTAGGAAGTTAGAAAGCTTCAGGAAAAGATAAGAGTTATAAAGAAGAATCAAGTGAAAATTTTAAGCCTGATAAAATATTCACTGCTTGGGCCTAGCAGCAGAATGGAGATGATGGAGGAAAGTGTCAGCAAACTTGCTTTACCTTAAGCTGTCATTGAATCCTTCCACAGCATATTTGGATGGAGTATATCCCCCTCCACCTAATGCAAGCCGGCCTCCGATGCTGGAGACATTGATAACTCTCCCTCGAGCTTTTTTCACCAAGGGAAGCATACGTAATGTCACATTGATGAGTCCAAACAGGTTCACTTCAATAGGTTCTCTGTAGTCCTCCACAGTCAGCCAGTCAGTGGGAGCTAGCACTCCGAGAACACCAGCATTGTTGATCAGACCCCAGAGACCTAGAACAGAGGAAGGAAAGGAGGCGGGGTGGTGGAGGTTGGCCTGCCCATCATGAACACACATGATTATGTGTGTTCAAATTATATGGAAATTCAACCCCTGCTTTACACAGTGGTGCTATTTCCGCCCTCTCATTATACTCCTGCTTTGAAATCCTTTGCAGTTTGGAGAAAGGATAGTAGAGAGTGTGAGAGGCTAAACTGAAGTAAGTGCTGAAGTTCTGTTACTGGAAGCCAACTTGCTGTTATTCTATTTCTGGTTCTGAATGCCAAATACTAGTTCTCTGACTGAGACTTTCTGCTTTTTAATCTCAGACGTCATTGGTCTATTTTACCCACCTTGCCAGATGTGACAGCCAGAGAATATTTATAAGATGCTCTATATGGACAAAGAACAACATTGACCTACTTCATGTTTATTTTTGGTTAAAAAAAAAGATCATTCACTCAACTTTTGCATGATGGGAAACCTTTTGTTAAAAGTGTTTGGAAACATTAAAATTATCTGGAGCCTTATGAAACCATTGCTTTTGAGGTTCAGAGTCTCAACTATATGATGAAGATGTGAACGGAAAGATCATATACATTTTTTTTCTTTGTGCCCCAAATATCTTCATCCATGAGAATATTCCAAATTTCATTCAAAGCCAATAAAGTCATCTAGTTCAGAATGCAACTATTTATCAGAACATAATGCAGAGTGGGTCTCTAATGCTTACTGTACCACCACTATCTAAGACACTTATACTCAATTTCTCAGATGATGATCTTTTCCTATGACAATATGTGAACTCTGGAGCCATTTTGTAGTGAGATAAGGATCCCAGGTATCTAGCTGACAATTTGGAGACTGTTCTAATATTCTGTAAATTTTATCCCCAAGTAACTTTGCAGCATTTGTGGCCGGTATAGGATAATATGCATTCACTTACAGGGAAGACCAGTTAATACGACTATTATTCGAATTTATGCACCAACCACTAATGCCAAAGATGAAGAAATTGAAGATGTTTACCAACTTCTGCAAACTGAATTTGATCAAATATGTAAGTAAGATGCATTGATAATTACTGGTGACTGGAATGCAAAAGTTGGAAACAAAGAAGGATTGGTAGTTGGAAAATATAGCCTTGGTGATAGAAATGACTCCGGAGATCGCATGATAGAATTTTGCAAGACCAATGACTTAATCATTGCAAATACCTTTTCAACAACATAAATGTTAATTATACATGTGGATCTTACCAGATGGCATACACAGGAATCAAATTGGCTACATCTGTGGAAAGACACCATGGAGAAGCTCAATATCATCAGTCAGAACAAGGCCAGGGGCCAACTGTGGGAACAGACCATCAATTGCTCTTATGCAAGTTCAAGCTGAAGCTAAAGAAAATTAAAACAAGTTCACGAGAGCCAAACTACGAACTTGAGTATATTCCACCTGAATTTGGAGACCATCTCAAGAATAGATTTGACACATTGAACATTAATGTCCGAAGACTAGACCATTTGTGGGATGACGTCAAGGACGTCATACATGAAGAAAGCAAATGGTCATTAAAAAGATAGAAAAGAAAGAAAAGACCATTTGGAGACTGACAATTTGGATGACAAAAGAGACTCTGAAACTTGCTTTTGAATGTAAAGCAGCTAAAGCAAACAGAAGAAATGATGAAGTAAAAAAGCTGAACAGAAGATTTCAAAGAGTGGTTCAAGAAGACAAAGCATTATAATAACATGTGCAAAGAACTTTAGTTAGAAAATCAAAAGGGAAGAACATGCTAGGCATTTCTCAAGCTGACAGAACTGAAGAAAAAAATTCAAGACTCGAGTTGCAATATTGAAGGATTCTACGGGCAAAATATTGAAAGACACAGGAAGCATCAAAAGAAGATGAAAGGAATACAGAGAGTCGTTGTACCAAAAAGAATTGGTCGATGTTCAACCATTTCAGGAGGTAGCATAAGATCAAGAACCAATGGTACTGAAGGAAGACATCCAAGCTGCACTGAAGGCACTGATGAAAAACAAGGCTCCAGGAACTGACGGAATACCAATTGCGATGTTTCAACAAGCGGATGCAGCGCTAGCAGTGCTCATTCGTCTATGCCAAAAAATTTGGAAAACAGTTACCTGACCAACCAACTGGAAGAGAGCCATATCTGTGCCCATTCCAAAGAAAGGTGATGCAACAGAATGTGGAAATTATTGAACAATATCATTAATACCACATGCAAGTAATATTTTGCTGAAGCTCATTCAAAAGTGGTTGAAGCAGCATATTGGCAGGGAGATGCCAGAAATTCAAGCTGGATTCAGAAGAGAATGTGGAACCAGGGATATCATCGCTGACGTCAGGTCTTAGCTGAAAGCAGAGAATACCAGAAAGATATTTATCTATGTTTTGTTGAATACACAAAGGCATTCAATTGTGTAGATCTTAACAAATTATGGATTACATTGTGAAAAATGTGCATTCCAGAACACTTAAGTGTGCTCATGAGGAACCTGTACATAGACCTTAGAGGCAGTCGTTTGAATAGAACAAGGGGGTACTGCATAGTTTAAAATCGGGAAAGGTGTGTGTCAGGGTTGTATTCTTTCACCATACTTATTCAGTCTGAGCAAATACTCTGAGAAACTGGGTTATATGAAGAAGAATAGGGCATCAGAATCAGAGAAAGTCTCATTAAGAACTTTCCGTATACAGATGACACAACCTTAGCTTGCTGAAAGTGAAGAGGACTTGAAGCACTTACTGATGAAGATCAAAGACTACAGCCTTTGGTATGGATTACACCTCAACATAAAGAAAACAAAAAATCCTCTCGACTGGACTAATAAGCAACATCATGATAAATGGAGAAAATATTGAAGTTGTCAATGATTTCATTTTACTTGGATCCACGAACAACGCCCATGGAAACAGCAGTCAAAAGAACAAACGACGCATTGCATATGGCAAAAATCTGCTGCAAAAGGCCTCTTTAAGTGTTAAAAAGCAAAGATGTCACTTTGAGGACTAAGGTATGCCTGACCAAGCCATGGAATTTTCAATCGCCTCGTATGCATGTGAAATCTGGACAATGAATAGGGAAGACTGAAGAAGAACTGATGCCTTCTATTATGGTGTTGATGAAGAATACTGAATACACCACGGACTCCCAGAAGAACAAATACATCTGTCTTGGAAGAAGCACAACCAGAATGCTCCTTAGAGGTGAAGATGGTGAGACTTTGTCTTACTTTGGACATGTTATCAGGAGGGACAAGTCCCTGGAGAAGGACATCATGCTTAGTAGAAGTAGAGGGTCAGTGAAAGACAGGAAAACTGTCAAAGAGATGGCTGCCACAATGGGCTCAAACATAGCAATGATTGTGAGGATTTTGCAGGACCAGGCAGTGTTTCGTTCTGTTGTACAAAGGGTCACTATGAGTCGAAACGGACTTGACGGCACCTAACAACATAGTACCTCACTGAGAAGAGCAGGGAAAGTCAATACCTTCACCTTGGTTCTAAATTCACCCACCGGGACTTAAGACTGTGGATTACTTTGGCTGTGTCTTACATGCACACAGAGAGCCTGAGACCTGTCACGACTCAGAAGCCCCCCTAAGACTGAAGAAGTACACAGCTGGTATTTAGGAGGCATGTTCTTGAAAGGTCATTTAAAATCTGAACACATTTTACTCAGCATTGGCTACCCTCTGACATCACTCACCTTTCTCCCCAACTTGGTTCTTCACCCACTGGGCAGTCTTCTTGACTTTCTCTGGGTCAGTTACATCCAGAAGCACCGTGTGAAGCCTGCCTGAGGTTTCTGCCTTTAAAGCTGTTGATCCCGATTCAGTCAGACAGGCAGCAATTACGTGAAATCCTTTTTTATCGAAAGTTCTGGCTGCCAAGTTTCCAAAGCCCGTGTCACACCCAGTGATGAAAATGTACTTATCCGTGATGTCTGCAATCTTTAGTTGTCTTTTGTAATTCCACAGAAAACCACACAGGATTAGGAGGGCTAACAACAAAAACAACATTTTTTTTTTCTTTCTGTATATGACAAGGGCACTCTTTTCTCATACCATAAAAGAAGATGGTGTCCTGATCCTGAGTGTTCAAAATTAGGAAAAAAAAAAAAAAAAATCAAATTAGAACTACCAAGACAATCCAGGGTTGATGAACTTGAGATATCTTAATGCATTTTGAGCGGATGAATGCGAAATTAAAAAAAAGCAGTAACTCTTACATGGCTGTTCACAGGGAAGCTGGCCATTTAATGCTAAACAGCTCCTCTAAAGAAATGCAAAATCTAAACAAGCAGTACTCAGAGAAATTAAGATGTATTCAGAAGAGAGGGAGGGAGGACCCATCTCAAAGTTGAAGTAGGTTATTGGGTTAATGTGGGCATTTGGTGTTGTGTGGTATAATGACAATCTGATGTATGAATTAATATATCTCAAAGACAGACTCTCATGGTAAAATCTTACCTTTGGCTACTTCATGAAATCCATGCCCAGGATAAGCTCAAAATCTAATTGTTCTGCCAGACTTCTAATTATTTTCAGACTGTTGGGAAAAGGAGAGTGTTACCACTAAGAAAATATTTCCAACTTGCTTTTCATTTTCTTATTTTAAATAGGTTCATGTCATCCTTCAACCCAACTCTGAGACCGTTGTAACTCAATGTGGAGAGTATTAAGGTGCAAGATGACCAGTGAGTGCAGGGAGGGAGGGTGAGGACAATGGGAAGACATAGAGAGAGAGAGAGATGATGACCAAGACACAGTATCCCAAACCAAATGCAGAATCCTCAAATTCGATCCTTTCTGGACACCTTGTCTATGATAAAAATAATTACACGTACAGAGCACAAAGTAAAGCAAATTTACACTTTAAAACCATGATGCTTGACCACGAGTGCCACAGAACCACCTGGAAAACTAATTTTGTCAGGGCTAGAGGCAGCCTAGGGCTAAAATCAAGCAGGTGAAGAGCTCCTTTCTCCTTTCCTCAGAAGGCTGCACCTGCATTTTCACTCAGCATATCTCACTCTGTCCATGGGTCCCGGTGGCCTGGGAAGAGCAGTAGTAGAAGTGAACAGGACCCTGAGAGCATTTGCCTGAGCGTGCACTGAGGCTGTGCGCCTGAGACTGCCTTAGGTCTGACCATCCTTGTGATTCGGTCCTGCCTAACTCACAGCTGCACAGCGGCCCCCAAATGGAGCTCATCAGGCCCCTTCTCACGCAAGAGCAGCCCTGGCCCCTGTTGGCTCATTTCCTTCCCTCATCACCCAGAAAGTGTTCTCATTTTTTTTGTGTCCACATAATATCTTCACCCTTGATCCTGACCCACCCTAAGGGTCAAGAGAACCTTGAGTGCCTCATACAGAACAATTGACTGGCCCTGAGTTGAAGCTCAGACCTTGGGAATACTGCCTTCATGGCTGCTCATGGAAACCTTGATCAAAAAGTATATGCAAGGCCAAGTAATTTTATAAACTTAGTTTAGAATTTGTATTCTTAAAATTATTGTCTATTTTTTTCCTTTGAATGATGTTTTTAGTCCTTTTTTTTTCTGCTTGTGAAAGTAACTTACGTTCAAGGTAAACAAAAATTTAACGATGGCAAAAAATTTGAAGAAAGTATGATTATCACATTAGACTTAATATTTGGTTCATTTTCTTCTAGTTTTTTTTCTATATATATCTGTGATAAGGGATATAAACATAAAAACAGAACTATGTATATAACTCTGCTACTATGTAAGGAATAGACTATTTCAGATAACAAATGCTTCATTTTAATATATTGTCTTTGTCAAGGAAATCTGGTACTCTGCTTTTATCTTTTTTCCCCCCCAAAAGATCTATAGTTAAAGAGAGAAAGGGTAAAGGAATGTCAATTAATAAAAACTAGGTCAGAGGGAAATATTAAGATATGGTAGGTTTGGAGAAATTAATTAATTCTTGTGGTATAACTGTGATTATTTCTAAAGCAGTCAACTTTTAGACAACTTTGAGGTCTCCATAGCTTAAAAACTTGTGGGACTTATTGAATTGTTGCACATTAATATCCATGTAGCAGAATTTCCCATTCTCAAATACATTTAAAATGTATAATTATGTGGGCAGGGGTCTGGTGTAACCATCTCTTGCAAAATTATGTTTAGCTATTTTAAGAAAACTACGGACTTATAAATTCAACTAGCTTAGTGATTTGTTCAAGTATGGACTTCTCAGTAAATGGTTATTAAATAACAGTTTAATATATTCCCTGAATATAGGTATGGATTTCATAGCCCTTATTGCAATCCAAACTCCATATTCATGAGGTTTATGTTCGCCAGAGCAGAAAGTGGAAGCTTTTTATGTGGTCATGTTAAGGCAGAGGCAAGCATGAAGGTAGCAGTAATAATCATGCTGTGATGATGATGTCTTACATTTGTAAAGCACTCCACACTGCACTTTTATATATACCAAAAAAAACGATTGCCGTTGAGTCGATTCTGATTCATGGTAACTCTATAGGACATAATAGAACTGCCCCATAGAGTTTCCAAGGAGCAGCTGGTAGTTTGAACTGTTGACCTTTGGATTAGCAGCCTGAGCTTTTAACCACTGTGCCACTAGGGCTCCGTTTTACGTTTAAGTCCATTCAACCCTCTCAACAAGCTTGTGAGTTAGAGTGGGCATATTGTTGGTCTTATTTTATAGATGGGGAGTCCCAGGGTGGTGCAAACTGTTAATGTGTCCAGCTGCTAACCAAAAAGTTAGAGGTGTCTTGGAAAGAAGACCTGATGATCTACTTCCCAAAAAATCAGCTATTAAAAATCCTACGGAGCACAGTTTTACTGGGACACACATAGTGTCTCAACAGCAACTGGTCTGGTTATAGAAGAAGGAATAGGCTTAAAAAAATAAAGTGATTTGCATAAGGCCACTGTTATGGATTGAATTGTGTCCCCCTAAAATGTGTGTCAACTTGGCTAGACCATAATTCCAGGTATTGTGTGGTTATCCTCCATTCGTGGATCTGATATTATTATCCTATGTGTTGTAAATCCTACCCTCTATGATGTTGATGAGTAGGATTAGAGGCGGTTGTGTTAATGAGGCAGGACACAATCCACAGGACTAGGTTGTATCTTCAGTCAATCTCTTTTGAGATATAAAAGAGAGAAGCAAGTAGAGAGGAGTGGGTCCTCCTACCACCAAGAAAGAAGAGTGAGGAGCAGAGTGCATCCTTTGGACCCAGGGTCCTTGTGCTGAGAAGCTCCCAGACCAGGGGAAGATTGATGACAAGGACCTTCCCCCAGAGCCAACAAGAGAGAGAAGAACTTTCCATGGAGCTGGTGCTCTGAATTCGGACTTCTAGCCTCCTAAACTTCAAGAAAATAAATTTCTGTTTGTCAAAGCCATCCGCTTGTGGTATTTCTGTTATAGCAGCACTAGATAACTAAGACAGCTACATAGGTAGTAATTGGAGGATCTGGCATTTGAACATAATTCTCTTCCCACTCCATTATACTGCCTCTGGGGGATTCCTGTGCCCACCATGGTGAAGACCAGGAGAGGGAGGCAGTGGGGACTGGAGTGCTTGCACACTGAACTGGAGCTGAGCAGCATCCATTCTGAGCTGAAAGAGCCAGCACATTGCCATTGGCCCACGGGTGCTGAAGCCTGGGATAAAAGTCCACTGGCCAAAAGCAACATCTCCATCTGTAATGACTGTTGCTGCAGGGTCATCTCCCCTCACGGCTTTTTCTATTCGAGTACAATGACTTCTAGCAGAAGTTCCCAGGGGGAGAGACAATGGGCAAGGGATTGGGTGAGGGAAGCAACAAGGAAGGTAGGTTCTGTGTCTTGTGTATAAAAAAGGATTACTAGGGCCAAGGGGCCTGCCTGTAGTTGGATGGCTAATTTGGGTGTCTATGGGACCTCAGGCAAAAGAGGTCCCATAGATCTTTGAGAATTCAGGGTTTGCACAGTTAACTGGGAAAAGAGTACATCTTTATTTTCTTTTAACTGTAACTGCGATTTAGCACACCTTTAAAATATGAAGGAGCCCTGGTGCCACAGTGGTTAAGAACTTGGCTGTGAACCAAAAGGTCAGCAGTTGGAATCCACCAGCTGCTCCTTGGAAACCTTATGGGGCAGCTCTACTTGTCCTATAGGGTCTCTGTGAGTCAGAATTGACTCGATGGTAATGGGTTTGGATTTTTGGTTTTTGGGTAAATTATGAAAGTAACAATAAACCACAGAAGCATTTGCAGAACCTGTGATTTTGTCACCTGTAGTAATCACAAGCATTTTTATGTTACATTACAGTTTTTGCAGATATCTCAAAATATGGTTTATACTCATCATTGCTTCAAAATTATGGCGGTTATTATACCTGCCACACTTTTGTTATTTATTGTGTTCATAAAGAAGCAATATCGCAAATATTTTGAATATATTTTGACATAGTGGGTTTCCTTTGTCATTCTATGTATTGTATTTCATGCATTCAAAAATTATTCTCAATTCTGAGTTAGCTGTGGCAATGACAATTATATAAATCCAAATTTCCTAGAACATCTCAAAAAATAAACAGTTCAACAAGATAAATAAAACCACATAAAATCTATGTCTTCATTATAACTAGAAAACAAACAACCCAAAAAAGTCAAATTGCCTGATTGAGAAAATAAGTAAATATATTGTAGATAATGGAAACCAGGTTTCACAGTGTCAGAGAGGGGAGTAACAAATGTGGAAAGGGGGAAGCTAGAATGAACCTTGTGGAGTTGGATTAAACTGGAGGAATCAGTATGAACTTATGGTTTTTAATGTGGAAAGGTAGATTTGGAAATAAATAACTTTCTAAATCTAACTGATGAACAAGAAGCAATGACACTCCAGTGTCAATGGACACACCAAATGGCTCAGATCCTGATTTCTAAATATTATTTTCTGCTAAAAGGAATCAAGGCTCTCTGGAAAAACTAATTTCAGGACTGGGGTTGGGAAAGTACAAGAAGAACTTGGAACATCTTGTGCTACACAGTAAGGAAGTGCTAAAGAATGTTGGGGACATATCAAAAGTACAGAGGCACTAGCTTGAAGGGCTCCCACTGGCCAAGTATGGGGGCAATCTGAGCATTAAAACAAATAATGATAATAATGGATTTGAATAAAATATGAATCCATGAATTCATCCTGATATAAATAAATAAAAGAAGAAATAAATGAGGATGGAGGGAAAGCTTTTTCATAGGGTAGAATGGCTACTAATAAATGTAGAAGGAAAGATGGGATTAGAAAATCACAATTTAGCAACTGTGATGGCTAAGATTGTGTGTCAACTTGGCTAGGTCATGATTCTCAGTGTTTATATGTGACCACTCCCATGATGGAATCTGCTGTGAGTAGCCAACCAATTGAAAGGGAGTTTCCTTGGGGATGTGGCCTGCATCCAAATATAAGCAGATGTTCTGGCTTTTTTCTCACTCTGGATCCTGCGGCTGCCTCCTGTTCGTCTGACGTCTGGTTCTTGGGACTTGATCGATCAGCTTATCTGCTGATG